CTCAGGAAGATGGGGCACAAGAGATAGATGGTGACTTGGAAAGAAGAAAAAGACAGGGTAAGTGTGGTAACTAAAGAGGAGGGGAAATTAAGGCACAAACATGGGTGCTTTCCATGGGCTGTTCCTTCTGCTGAAATCTTGTCTCCCTTTCTCTAACTATCGACCTCTTTGTTTGTGCTTCAAAACCCAGTTTAAATGTCATTAAGGTAAGAAAATTTATCACAAGTCTCCCAGGTTTCCCAACACAGCCACCGATATCCACAGCCACACACAGAACAGGCTCTGTACCGGGCTTAAGAGTTCATCCTCCTACAATATAACTTGGGGTCTTTTCCTGTCTCAGCTCCTTTTCCTGGAACAATAGTAAAATCCTCAGACAAACCAGCTCAAGAACTAGAGGGTTCATCTAGGCTCTGTAGCTGGAGTTTTCTCCAGTCCTGCCTGGCCCAAGGTCAGAACAAATCTCTCTCACCCGCCAGTCCTGCAGCCGCTCAGACCCAACCAAGTAAACACACAGAGACTTACATTGCTTACAAACTGTATGGCCGTGGCAGGCTTCCTGTTATCTAATTCTTATATCTTAAATTAACCCATTTCTATAAATCTATACCTTGCCACACGGCTCATGGCTTACCAGTATCTTACATGTTGGTACTCATGGCAGCGGCTGGCGGCGTCTCCTGACTCAGCCTTCCTGTTCCCAGAATTCTCTTCTCTGCTTGTCCTGTCTATACTTCCTGCCTGGCTACTGGCCAATCAGCATTTTATTTATACAGAGCGATATCCACAGCAAGGCTCATTGTTCAAGGGTACAGCCCATCAGGGCAGGGAAGTCATGACGGCAGGAGCATGAGGTAAGCTGTCACATCCACAGACAAGAGGCAGAGCATGGTGGAGTCTGGTGTCCAGCTCTCTTACTCTCTTTTATTCAGTCCAGGACTCCAGTTGGTGCCACCCGCATTCGGGGTGGGCCTTCCCACCTCAATTAATGTAAACTAGGTAGTCCCTTAAGAGGAGCCCAGAAGCTTGTCTGCTAGGTGGTTCTGGACCCTGTCAAGCCGACAGTCGGTGTTAACCATCACGTCTCACCTGTTAGTTTTGTGACCTTGTGCCAGTCCTTCAGCATCTCTAAGCCCTTGGTTTCCTCATCTCCAAAACAGAATGAGCACCAAGCGCTCAGTGCTGATATCAAAGCTCCTCTCTACTGTTACTGTAACTAGCCACAGCACAACTCCCCTAGTATCTTACTTGCTAATTAGTACTTTACCCTCAACGGCCTTGTGTTAATTAACACGCGTGTGTATGACTCACTTCTTTAACTACACTGCGAGACCCCTGAGGGCAGGGTGCATCTTGTACATGTTCACGTCCCACACCACCACAAGAACAGTGCCAGACTCATAATACATGCTCAAATATTTACAGAAGAAATCCTTAAAGCTTTGGCTACAAGTATATGCGCTGGTTTTGATTGGCAACAGAACAAGCGACATTTGTATTTACACTCTTGTTTCCAAGACTAATTGATGTGGGCCTTACAATCATAAAAAGCCCCTTTAAACTCTCCCCTAATAATGGCAGAAGCCATCAATTAAACAAACCATTAGATGTATCAACAACGTATTAATCACTCTTCATGGAGGGATGTTGGTAGACTTCAGCTGTCTGGCTGTGCAGTAGAATTGGCGCTAACTAGAATATTCAGTTTGGTTGCAGACCCTCCGTCAACACTGCTTATTCTGTGAAGTGATGATTGGATGTCAGTCTAGAGAGATTGTTCAGTGGGTAAGAGAATTTGCTGTAGGAGCGCAAGGACCTAAGTTCGAATCCCCGTCACACACATAAGAATCTGGGTACGGCTGAGCGTGGCCCTGCAACCTTAGTACTCGGGTGGGAGAAGACAAGATCCCTGATGTGTATTGGCAGCTGTCCAGGTTCCAGGTTCACACCCTGTCTCCAAAGGATTAAGGTGGACGTAGTATTCAACTGACTCCTAACAGCTCATCACACCCAAAGATGAATGTATCTCTCTATTCTCATCACAGAACCTTCTCTTTGCTCCAGAGAGTGATTAACACAGATCACGGCGAGTCAATGTGCAGAGAACAGGAGACTTCTGAGTGGAGTGCTCAGCCCTAAGTGAGCACAGATCACATTCCTTCTCCCAGGGCCCAGGGATCACTGCGGAAGACTGGGTGGAAAGAGCATACGAGCATATGAAGAAACCGTCACAGCAGGCCAGCTGTGCATGAACTCACAGCTCTGGGGACACCATGGGAAAAACTTGTGCACGCTCAGGCCAGACCAAATCCCGCCATGGAAAGTCCTGCCCTAGCTGCTGGGAGAAGGCGCTTCTTTCTGTGTGTAGTGAGTTGACCACACTCCAGGGAAGGCCACACGTCCAAGAACATAAATTGGATTTGATGGGCATTAAAAAAAAAAAAAAGGACAAAATGTTGGGTCAGAGAGGAAAGGGGTGGAACTGGGAGGAGTTGAGGCAGAAACAAATAGAATCAAAATGAAGTTTAATATTTTTAAAGGAATAAAGTGGAGAGTGACGGAGCTGGATACCTGACGTCCTCTGGCCCTCATCACACTCCCAGACAGAGCAGCTCCATTTCAACAACCAGAGCTCTCAAGAGAGCGAACCTCTCAACTGCCCCAGTGCCCAGAATATGAATGATATCACATGCCCACATATACCACATGCACTCCCCCAACACAGACACACACAGAGATACAAACACCACACACATACACATATCACCACATACATACTGACACACATACAAATATACATACATACACACATATATACATGCACTCACATGTACAGAAACATATACACATACACTGCATACTTCCACATACAAATAGGTACATACACAAAATGAAAAAAAAACGATAATATCACTAACACAAGCGTGGATGCAGATGGCAATACATAGACCCACCCTGCGGCTTCTGGGAACACATTAATTGTTCATTCCTGACAACTGTAAGAAGGATGTGAGAGCAGGGATGTTTTGTAGAAAGAAGATTCAAGCCCTGGTTCTGCCATTCCTTTGTGGGTAAATCATTTGGATCATTTTTCATATATGCAAAATGGAGATTAAACACCTGCACCCAGAACTGTTATGAAGATTAAATGTTAACGTGAAGACCGCGGTTGGAACTGAGCTAACCCAGCCTTCCTGCCGACAAGCCTCTCTTTCTCCACTTTCCCTACCAAATATTCAACTTAACCACTGTTTTCTGACCACCTACTATGTGCTTGGCCCTGGAGAAAGAGTAAGGCAAAAAGAAGAGAGTGCCTACCCGCATGGGGTTCATGAGAAAGTAGACAGTGCATGAGACACCTTGATAATGCGCCATTCAAGAGACCAAAGGGACACAGAGGAGGGAGGAGACCCAGCCAGGGCTTGCACGGTAGGAGGGCCACCAAAGCTTCCTCCAGAGAGCCATGTGTTAGTGCCCATGCTTCCCTTGCTCCCCTTCTACCCACCCTCTGTCACCTGCATGGTAACGATAGACAGTAACCATACTGAAAGCATCCTTGGGACATCTGTCGTAGGTCTACATGACAGATGGCACCAGAGATGACCTCAAGCTGAGGGAGGCTGTTCGCAACCCAGACCTTCTATAACAAAAAGACACACACCGTCATCCATGAAGGATCTGTTCCAAGACCCGCCAGGAAGCCTAGACACTGTAGGCAATCCTAAAATCTACATACACTGAAGGGTTTGTCCTTTATGCATCTATGATAAAGTTTAATGCACAAGACAGGCAGAATAGGAGGTTAATGAAAATCAAAAGTAAAATGGACTGATCATAACACACTGCACTGAGAGTTAGTTGGAACTCATTAGCTGTTGACATCTGGCATGTTGGGTTCGTGGCTGATCACAATTGAAACAGCAAAAAGGAAAACTGTGATTAAAGAGCAACTTGAGAACCCCAAGCCAGGTGGCCCAAGGTATAGGAATTTGTCATTGATCGTACCAAACAAAATTGAGGAGCAAGGTGTCAGGGAAAGTTTCCTTCTGTAGGATGCGAGAGTATCCACCCCTGCCTTTCTCTTAGCTCCGGGACATTTCCTGTCAACCTTTGGCACCTCTAGCTTATAGGCACAGTTGGTCTATCTTTTTTCCCATGCCTCCTGGTGTGCATGTCTGCCATCTCTCAGATCTAGTTGCTTCTGCAAATACCCTGTTCCCAAATACCAGTCCAGGCTCTGTGGATTCAGGATTGTTATGTGGAGCTGGGGGGATGTCTCCATCAGTAAAGTACTCAGGAAGCAAGCATGATGTGGTAGTTCATGTCGCCACCTTGACAGGATCTAAAATCGTCCATGAGACAAGGGTCTGGACACACCAGTGAGGTGATATCAAGGTTAAGCTAACTCTGAGCACGTGGGGGATTATCTGGACTGTGTTCACGGAGGTGGGAAGACCCACCCACTGTGGGTGGTAGCATTCCCTGGGTTGGGATCCTGGACTGAGCACAGCGTGCGCTTGCTGCTTCTTAACTATGGATGTCATGTGATCAGCACCTTGGGCTCCTGCTGTCTTGATTTCACCATAAGGGCCTGAATCTCTAACAGTGATCTAGAATAAACCAGTTCTAAGTTGTTTTTGTCAGGAAAAGAAACTTAAACATGAAGAAGCAAGTGAAGATGTCCAGAACCCACATAAAAGCCTGACACAATAGCACATGTGCCTGGAATCCCAGCACCCTATGATCAGATGGGAGGCACAAATGGGAGAATCCATAGACATTCACACAGGACCTGGCACATGGCAGCAATGTGTTCTAGTCTCAAAACAAGATGGAGAACCATGAAAGACCCAAAGATTGACTTCTGACCTCCAAATGTGCTGAAGTCCGTATACAACTCCCCCTGCACTGTGCACCCTCTCCCCCCTGCCCAGAATGGAAATTATTTTAGAAAGCTTCATTATGGATGTAGGAGGTGAATTTTCAGAGGTACAGCTCACCTCACTGAATCTTGTCCCCCTTGTCACTCAATGGTTCCAGAAATAATGTTAGAAACACCACCATGGGAGCCTATCCATTACCAGCACCAGCTGGTCAGGGTCGCCTCCTCAGGATCGTTGCCAGCCACTCTTCCAAGCATTCAGATTCTAGAACCCCAGCCATCCCCATTGTTCCTCTAGCCCTATGAATGATGAGCTACTTCCCGCCTGGTTCCACCTCTGAGTTTTCCCAGTGATCTTTGGTCCGGGGACTCCTGTATGTATGAGTCCTTCTCCTGTGGCAGAGATGATGGGCTTCCTGCCTCATTTCTCACAGCAGAGGTGATGGGATGCCACCCCTGAGACTGAATGAGGAGACTGATCTCAGCCATGGTTTTTCCCTCTGGCTTGCTCATTCTGATGAAGCCAGCAGCCACGTTGGGAGTTCCCTATGGAGACATCTAGGAGGTAAGGACCTCCTCTACCCACAGCCAAAGACTTCACTATAAAAGCCCATGAAGAAGCTGAACCTCACCGTGATCACTGGCGTGATCTTGGAAGCAGATCCCTCCCTCAGAGGAAACTGACCCCAGTTTCAGCTGACATATGGCGGCTGCCTTGTGAAACATCCTGGGACAGAGGACCCAGGGAAACCATACCACCTACCAGGGTGACGGGCTATGCAGATATTGCAAGTACTGTGTATTGCATACTGATCCTTTCTTCCTTCCCCACCCTCCAGTCGATGTTGAACCAACTCCCTGTATTCAATTCTGTTTAATTAACTTACATGATTCCCATCTTACAGACTGGATGCTGGCTGCCTGAAGATGGCAACTGAGCCTTGACCTTAAAGGACACTTGGGGTGAGCAACACCATCATGGAGGATTGTTTCAGGAACAGAAACAGTTCTGAAGTTACAAAGTCCTGAAAACATTCATCCCTTAAACATTGATTGAGTACCTACTGTCTTTGTTAGGGTTTCTCCTGCTGTGAAGAGACTCCATGACCATGGCAACTCTTATAAATGAAAGCATTTAATTGGGGGCTAGCTTACAATTCAGAGATTTAGGCCATTATCGCCGTGGCATGACATGGCAGTGTGCAGGCAAGCACGATACTGGAGAGGTAGCTGAGAGTTTTACATCTGGATCAGCAGGCAGAGAGGACAGACAGACAGCAGGAAGACACTGGGCCTGGCTTGAGCTTCTGAAACCTCAAAGCCCCACCCCCTGTGACACACTTCCTCCAACAATGCCACACCTACTCCAACAAGATCACTCCTCCAATAAAGACCCTCCCTATGAGTTTCTATGGAGGCTATTTTCATCCAAGCCACCACACCTACTGTGTGTCAGTCCCAGAGCTAAGTGCTGTAAATGACATTATGGATGAGAAAGTGAGGCTTTGGCTTCCTGGAGATTGCTTCAGCATGGCTCTTTGGTCAGGACAACAAGGAGACAAAAGCTCAGACACGCCCCGTCCCCACCACCCTGAGCTTCCTCACAACAGATCCCAAGCATTCACTGCAGCTTTCTCAATCGAGCCATGAATTAAGTAAATGCTCCCCCCCCCCCGCCCCCAGTGTGGGCTTCTCATTTGTAAAGGAAAGACGAAAATGTCTCCCTCCCGAGAACTGGGAGGTCAAGAGGGTCTGGAGGCTGGAGCCAAAGGGAAGCTTTGTACAGAAGAAAGAGCCCCACTGTATTAAGACAGAGTCACTCCATTTTAATGAGAGAGCGCCCAACTTGGAACAATCTGAGACTCTCATCTGCCCAAGTGGCCATGGGCCCTCTGCTGGCCCTGGAGCTAGCTGTAACCAAGACTTGGATTAACAGGATTAAACAAACAGCCTGTTGCTTCTGGCCCCAGCTAGCAGGTCGCCAGCCACTGATAAAAGACAGGCTGTAATACAAAGAGCGGCCTCCCGGAGGCCACCCATCCCATAAATCATCAGCTGGCGAGGGCTATTGAATTACCTCTGCAAGATGGATGACGTGGAGCTGGAAGGCCGTCTGATAAAGTTTCCTTCTAAATAATTCCGTGTAGAAAGCTGGGTTGAGAAATGGGGTCTTTCTACCAGCTTGGCCCCGGTTGTACTAGCTCTGCCAAGTGCCTTTGAGATAAACACATTTCCTTGTGGGCTGCCAGGGTTCTGCAAGGAAAAAAGAAAACTCACTGCTAATCCCCATGGAAGTTTCTACCGCCACCTGAGGCCCAAACAATGTTTTACTATAATCATCATTTATTATTATTATCTGTAATACTAACTTAATAAGAGCTATCATCCTTTATTATCTGTTTCCTAAACTCAAACTAATTTGAAGATCAGGATTTAACATCACCTGGCCTTTGGATCCATTTTGCCTAGACCAATAGGCGTACAGGAAGTGCCCTGTGCATATCTGAGAACTGGGTAAATCAAATGACTGATCAATGTGTAAATAACAATAGTTAACTATCCTCCATTAAGCATATTTTATGTGGCTTGGGAATGGGCAAAGCACTTGAGCTTATTAAATCATAAAACAATTAGGATCATAAAACCTTATAGGATATGGTTCTGTCACTCTCTTCATTTGATTGATGAAACTATTAAATCTCAGAGAGGTGACATGACCAATATCATATGCTGGTGGATGTCAGAGATAGAACTCGAACCCAGGTTCTTAACAGGAGTCCGAAAAGTTGTCCCTACAAAGATCCAAGCAGTAGATAATATAGGCCTTGCAAAATGTGTTGTCTCTGTTGCAGCTACTTGCCTACATTCCAACAATGAAAAAACAAAGACAATCATACATGATACAGAAGCAAGGAACCATCATTGTGTCCCAATAAAACTTTATTTACACAAACAGGCAGAGGGCCAAATTGGACCCATGGGTTGTGGTATGAAAATATCTACTCCATTTGCACTTTGTTTCTCCTTCCACATATCTGTTTCGATACGGAAAATGTGATAGCTCTTCATGAGTTAACCTTATTCAATTTATTCATAACTCCTTTATTGTTTCCTTCAATGATTCTGGCACCACAGGAAATATGGAGATTTTGTTAGTTATGAAGCTAAGATGTGTCTTGTATTTCAGCCATTTGTTGGCTATAAGGAAAGGACCTATGATGCTATAAAAGCAGAAAGTCCCCAAATCTCAGTGACCTAGCATACAACTCGTACAGAGGTCCCAAGTTTGGTCCCCAGAATCCACTTCGGGAACCTCAGAACCACTTGTAACTCCAGCTCCAGGGCATCTAACACCCTCTTCCAGCTTCCATGGGTATTGCACTCACATGGCATGCACACAAACATGCAGATGCATAGATACATAGGTAAAAATAAGTCTCCAGACAATGTCATTATGTACACAGAGTTGGGGGAGGGCACGAAAATCACTGCCAATTGAGAGTCTCTTGGTTTAAAACAAGTTATTACCATTTTATGAACTGGTCTGGTCACCATCTCTCCCAGAGAGTTCCCCATCCCAGTGCGACAAGAACCCAAGATACCTCCAGTTGCGACTCTGCCCTATCAAAGTTCTGGACCCTCCATCACACATAGTGATAGAGAGCATGGCCCTCTCAACTTGCTCAGAACAAAAGCTCTAGAGGGGGGAAGGGCAGAGTATGTGGGCATTGGTCCTCATCATGCCACTCAAGAAACACTGTGACCACCTCTTCTAATCAATAATAATGTAATTTTGAGGATATCTATGTGAGCAACACATATTTTCTCCATTCACAGCATGCTCATATTCTTAGGGGACCTTCCACATGGTCTCCCTCCCTAGATGATAGAACTACAGGGAGGTCAGTGGCCGCTCAGGAAGGGAGAATCAGTTGCCTTGGTATTAAATTCCCACATAGGTGGTCCAATCTCAAGTGACCAACCCCGGACACATGTACATAAGAGCAAAACTAAATTTGACTCAGTAAAGTACACATGTGTAGATATAAAAAAATGCACATATACATGAAATAATAATTTAAAAGATCATAAATTGTGGGAGAAGTTGGAGGGGAAGGGAGGAAGTAATGTAAATGCAGTACTCGTATGAAATTTGAAAAAAAAATTAAGATAAAGGCCTGTGCATTTAGTAATGGGACTACTGTAAAGAGTACATACAGAAACTAAACTCAACTCTATGATCTCCCTGGTCCCAGTCCTCTGGAACCCCATGTAAGAACCCAAATCAATACATTAAGCGTTTGAACTCAATCGCTCTTTTCTTCCTTTGTTCTCCTACCATTTATATGCCCTGAAATAGGGAACTCAGCTGGATCAGTTTGCAGCCCATAATGAGTCTGTTGGCTAGACCACTTCAGAGTTCTAATAATCTGATCCTGTTGAGTCATGTTGTAACTACCAACAAACAGCCCCGAGAAAAACCAGCAACACAGTTGTTCTCCAATAAAACTTTATTTATATAGATGGAGGGCCATAGAGTGACACCTCTATTCTTTACAATTACACGGCACTAACTCCCTCTGGACTTTGCATCCCTTGTTTGCATATGGAGCATGGAAGCCTTGGAGTGACAGATATACATCCCTGTTGTGTCCCCAAACAAATCTGTTTCCACACTGGCCCATGTCTTCTTTATTACAGACTTAGTGAGAAGCAGCTTCATTCCCATTCATGAAACAGAGGGGAAAGGAAAACATGGAATCTATGACTCAGTGTTTTGTCTCAGGCATGATATCAACACTCATGCCTACTGGAATTCATTCTGCTGAGGAAAGTCATGGAGTTCATGACCTCTGACATTCATGGGGCAGGAAATAGACTTATACTCTGGAAGGGACACCAGAAAGGAGCCTTACTCGGCAGGCAGATGGATCTATCAACTAGAGAAGGACTCTAGTATGGAGAGACCAGAGTATGCTACCGAGTACTCCATAAAGCACAGAACAGAGAGTTCCAGAGCCAAGAGTTTCAAACAAATGCCTTGCATACTTAGTATAATATACCACAGTAGTTGTCCATTTTGGCCCACTGAGGGAGACTTGCAGTATTTAGAAGCATTTTTAGTGGTCACAACAGGGAAAATATTACCAAAATCTAAATGGACAGAGCCTAAGAATATTGACACCATTCTATAAGGAACAAGCTAACCCCTCTGTAGCAACATGTCCTGCCCAAAATGTCAAAAGGGTTGGGATTTGGAAAGTCCAAACCATTACACAAGGCAGCTAGATCCTTTTATTCATTCATTCACTCATCATTAATCAATGGTTATCGAATGTATATTGAGTTCCAGGCAGCGAACAAGGCCCAGAGGGTGTAATAGCTAAAATAAATACGTTCCTGTCTGAATGGACTTTACAGTCTAGTTGGGAAGGCAGACATTAAGCAAGCAATCAGACAAATGAGCATTTCACTACAAAAATAAATGAGGGGATGGAACAGAGTCCCTGAGTCTCCCACAGCCTGTTGGGAAAGGAGCTGGAAGGTTCGGGAAGACTTGGCCAAGAGAGGAACCAGGAATAGTGTCTAGGAATGAGCTAACTAGGAAGGAAGAGAGATGTATTGCAGAGAGGTGAGAAGAGCATGCTGGGCTGGGGCAGGATGTGGGATGTGTGCACAGGAAGTCACAGATGTTGGTACACGACACAGCAGGTGTCAGGAACCTGATTCCTTAGCACTGTGTAGGGCAGGCTGGCTCTTTGCCTTATAAGCGTGGAGACTCCAACCCATTTTAAGCAAGGAATGAATAATCCACTTTTGTCCTTTGGAAAAATTATCCAGGCTGCACTGTGGAGAATGGTGTGGGTGGGGGGTGGAGTGGATGAAGGAGCACCATTTCAGACTGTTACCGTCCTGCACGTGAAGGATGATAGGAGCTCAGTGCTGGGTGGGGGGGGGGGG